CTACTTTATATTAGATGATGTCTTTTATAATTTTTTAATTAATATTAGGCTTTGATTTAATTCATTCCTCAAAAATTTTAGTGTTAATTAATTATACGTTTTAAGATTAAGGTCTCTAATTTTAGAGTAAATCTTCCTCAATTAGCATCAATTTATCAAAGTTCTGAGATTGTTTTTTTATGAGAATAATATTCTTCTCAAACTAATTATCCCAGCCATTATTCAATTATTCCTCAATTTTTTTAATCCCTCCAATCATCTCTGGGCTATCAATCTCAGAATAAATACTATCTAGTTAAATTTATCTTTCTAACTCATCATCAAATTATTAGATATCAATACCATTTTCGGAAATTTATTCTGAATTTTAATTTGCTTGAGATGACTCATCCTTTTAAGTCAAATTATTTAAATTAATATCACCTTCATTTAAGTCTTAATTTCTATACATTAGATTGCAAGAGCTATCGTCCTGATCCATTATGTCGATTTGTAGTATCGAATCTACATTTTGATGATGATTATCGAAATATTATTCTTGAAGTTATTAGCCATCAATTCTCTTGAAATTTCCTCTTAGCTTTTAGAAAATCCTAATCTAATCCCTCTTCAGTTTTTTCCCCTCTAACATTGAAGAATTTATTTATTAAGAAGATGTTTTTTCCCTACTGAAAAATTTATCTCGATTTGATTTTTATCTATTTATTGCATCAGCTCTAAAACTTTACTTTTTCCTAATGATTTATATTGTTTATTGGTCCTAATATTCTCTATTTTTTGTATATTTTTTTTTTATTTATCTAATTTTCAAATTATTCTCCTATAGCATTCCAGATTATGGTTAGTATAAATCAATATTTTCACTTAAAGGTGATGAATCTTTTGCATTAAGACAACTATCATTAATCGAGTATAATGATCTATCACTTTAATTAGGTAACTTTATAAAATCTCTTAAATCTTAAATCTTTTTCCCTTTAATATTCTTATTGAAAAAATCTAGACGAGAATTTTTATTAAATTTAGACTATGAATTCTCCAATTCTTATTTTGAAATAAATAAGCTGTCATCAAATAGAATTCTCTTCGAAACATCTACTTCATCTTATGATTAATAATTAGGTCTATTTTTTAAATTCTTATTTGGATTATAAGCATCATCAAAATCAATTTCACTTTAAGAGTCTTATTATAGTTTAGTTAACTATTTTTCGCTTTGATTCTATGACTTTTTAAAGTGATTATTATAAAATCTGGCGTTATTAATATTTAAATTACTAACTTTATCAAAATTTGTTTTTATTGATTCATCTAATTATTATTAATCTTCATCTTAATCACTATTATAATTATTAATATATTTTATAACTTACTTATTTAAGCCTTCAATTAATGGGAACATTTTTTTGGTCCTAATTTTTCGACTATTTGTATTATAATTTTTAATAAAATCATAGTCATATTATTTCATTATTTGCTATTATTTGAAGATAATGGCTTAATTTTACTTGATATTGCCCTTTTAAATTATCAATTCAAATTCATCCAAAAGTTTTTTCATGTCTTCTTAGATTTTATCTGATCTTTATAATATATTTTCTATTCTTTTTTCCTTCTCTAGCTTTTTCTAGTTGTTACAAGCACATATTACTAAGTATACATTCTGAAAACTTTTTCTTACTTTAGAATTCACCTCTTAACTCATTTTAAGACCCCAATAAATAAAAAAGATCAAGTTTACTATTAAAATTATAGCAAAGAAGAGCCTTTTAAACAATGAGGAAAGTTAGACTGCACTTTTTGCATATTCTGGATTATTTTGAATCCAAACCTTTGGCTAATCCAAAATAAAGAATATTCCGATATAAATTGTAGTCATCGATGTAAATATTGATACTGTATCTAATTCATTTAGATGCTTTGTACTAAATGGTTAAT